ATATACATATACACATATACATATACACATATACATATACACATATATATATATACATATACATATACACATATACATACATATACACATATACATACATATACACATATACATACATATACACATATACATACATATACACATATACACACACACACATATATATATATATAATATTCATTTATCTGTCAAGATTCCCTTCCACTCTCACCTTGTGGTTGGGGATCTCTTCTTCCTCTCACAATGGACGGCATCAAAGAACGCAGCGTTCCAGAACCTCAGTGTGTGCCTGGCAGAGGGAACGGATGACATGTTACAGGTCTCCTGCCTGACCTACTTCACTAAGCTACCTGAGATGACGCTGCACATGACGGCCAGTGGTTGCAGAGAATGAAATCATATAATGATCATTCTGGTAACACCTGCCACATCTCATTACTCCTGGCGAAGCCTGAAGGCAGATGGTCACTAAGCTGTGATATGATTCAATGCGTTGATGCATGCTTGATGTCATTTCCATAACATGTCATCAAATCACACTCTTCTTCAGTGGAGCCCAACATGCAGATCAGGAACCCACCTGATATCCTAAGATAAATCTGAGGGGCCACAACATGATTTAGGGAGGAAAGAAAAAAAATAATTCTGTTACACTGATTTTGCTTAAATTCTTGCATTTTTTAAAATGAAAAATCCCTGATATTTTACCCCATAAAGCCGCTAGATTAGAAGATGTCCACAACCTGTGAGGAAGGATCGAGTAAGCACTAATTACTTTTTAAGGGTCACGAGTCAGAAAGGTTTGCAACCACTGCTGTAGTTAAAAGAGTACATTGAAATGAAATGGAGTTAGTTGTTCCAAAAACTGTTACAATATTTATTGAGGGAGAGCAGTTAGTGACAGTGTGGGCTCTATGGTAATGAAGCTCTGACAGCTTGACAGAGTAGCAGTAAGGGGCGGGACTTAGCGAAGGGTCTCTTTAGCTCTGAAACTATGAGGAGGTGGTAACAGGTACAGTAGTATAGGAGCTATAATCCACAATTCGTCTAAAGGGGTCACATGTAGTGATAAACCAACAGATCATTTTCAACTGACTCTGCAGAGCGTTTTAGTGCCTTTTAGGCTCATTGTTTTGGTTGCCAACTTTCACTGCTCTCGTTCACTGAGCAAATAAATAAAGTTCTAACGCCCCACTGTGTGCTGCCTGTCCAGCACCAAACAGCAGGCAACATTACAGTAACATTTAGCTTCTCTCATCCAGAGCTCCTGTATGTGTTCGATGTTTCCTCAACTTACCAGATGGGTTGCTGCTTCAGGTGGGTGTACAGGTACACCTTCTCTCCTTTCTGTTCCTCTGGAGCTTCAGACACTGGGATGGAGGAGATCACATTTTATAAAACCTTAGTTGAGCAAGTCAAAGTGCACTTCAATAACTGCAGTTCAAGAGATGTTTGGTGCATCATACCTGGTGACTTGGGCTTTGTCTCAGCTGGGCCTTCCCCATCCCTAGACATGAGAATGCGGTAAAGAAGAAGAGAAAGGGATGAAAACTATAAATGGCGGCGTCAATGAAAAGAACTCAGAGGTGCATTTCCTCACTCAGTCTTGGGAGCAGTCGAGCCCCTCAGCTTGTTCTCTAGGCCTCCAAAGAAGCCTTTGACGTCAGTCTTGGATGTGGTTTTGAGGAGGCGCTCAGCGGCATCCTTCTTCACGGACAGCCAGGAGTTGGCCTTGTTGATGTACGAGTCTAGGCCAGCTGGAGGACCACCGCGATCCAGTAGCTCGGAGGGAGACGGCTGGGACTTCCCTGAAGAAGAAAAGAGCAGAGAGGTTGGAATAACGACAGCTATCTGGGTACGGCATCACCGAAATGCTGTTTTAGACGTTTAAAAGCTCCACAAGGCAAATGTGTGTCTGTTGTACTGGATGTCCCCGTGGTGTTCTTAGTGTCCAGCATCACAGATTGTCTGGCTGATAAACAGAGAACAGACATCACCTTCCAACATGTTGTTGCTTCATCTTAGCCAGCTGCAACTCAGTGAGCTGCCCATGACGTAGTCAAGTACTCGTCCGTGAGCTTCGGATATGGAGTCAGATCAGATCACAGATGTATTTTGTGATTTATAGATAAATTACTCTTTCCACAAAAGTAAGATTCACAAATATATTTATAATGCACAAAAAAAAAAAATCAAATATAAAAAATAACCATACAGATAAAAACTATTGAAGCTGCATTTCCAATCTGTTGGTCATGTGAGACCTTTACTGGACTACTGTGTGGGACTTGTGAGGCTCCCCTGACTCCCCTGTCTCCTTCATTTATCACGAGAGCGCCAACACGAGGGTACACTCTTGCGTCAAGCTCAGGTAGGAAATGTGGAAACATGGATGTATAGAGAGAACTGATACAGCGTTGGATTTGCAAGGAGACCTTTGGTAGTTTGACTTGCGCAGAGTGCAGGTCTACTTTATGTCTAAGAAATACTGACTGCAGACGGATGTTGAAGCAATGATCGCTCAAGGCTTCCTGCTTGCACAATCACAATCACTACCGTCATGCAAACTCACAAAGTCACTGCATCAGTGTTTATGGTGCTGCTGCAAGAGAAACCACAGGGCCAACCTGTGGTGGTAACACTCGCTGAGTCAGCACTGGGGAGTGATATTATATATGTTTTCTTCTGCAATCAAGAGCTCCGGTTTCCTTTTAAAGATGTGCAATGAAAGGCTCAACACTAGTTAGAAAAGAAAAGTCCCTCTGATACATACCAGATAGAGTTCGAGTTGGACCTTACCACTGTAGTAGTATGTGAAGCACATAGTCATGAGGTTCTTGGCCGGGCTGTAGTCATCCATCTGGTAACATCTGGGAACACAGCACATCTTTAGAGAGGATCATCCTATCAGCTTACTGCTAGAATTGATGTAATTTACTGGAGCTTTCTCACTAAACGGTTGAGAAGGTGATCGATTGTTCTTATTGTTAACCATTACCATGAAAAGACACGATGAGTTGATCCTACTAATAAGTCGTCTTCTTCCTCTGTGTCATAGAGCGCACTTGTTGTCCAACAACTATTAAAAACACATCAATAATCCACCTTGTTGCACTGGGTTCCTATGAACACACACACACACACACACACACACACACACACACACACACACACACA